TGCCATCGCCTCCACCATCAGCCCGGAAGCATGTCTCTCTATCTGTACGGCTGCAGCCGTGCCTTCTATCTTCGATTAGCTAACGAGAACCCCTTCCAGCTGATGACGATATTTCAGGTGGGAATTGTTTATGAACACATTCTTCTTGATCGTATGCATATCGGTTGAGATATCCGCACCACCTCTTTTTCTACATGTTAAGAATATCCTTCACTGCTGACGTTCTACAATCAATGTGGATGCTATCAATATGGCGTCAACGAGCCGACAGGGCCTAGATGCGTCATCCAAGCAAGACACAGGAAAGATGGTTCATCCGCCTCGATTTGGAAAGTTGCAGCATATTGTGTAGATCAACCGCAACAATACAATCAAGCAAGTTGTAGAGAGACACTGCGACGAGGCACGGGTTACGACTCAAAACGTTGCAGTATTTTCTGTCTGTGATTCTGTGCGAGACACGCTGCTTCCAGGCCGCAACCGCACACACGCGCGCGCGGAGCGGGCCGCAATTATACGTAAAATAGAGAACGTGTCCAATATGTATTGGAAGGGATCTTCAAGACGGGACTGGTTGGTGCATCCGCTCCCCCGCTGGAGTGCCAAATGCTGTTCTTAGATTCGCTGCGGCCGGCGACTACAAGTACAACGCCGAAGACTTTCCTTACTCAATCCGTCCACGCCGTCCTTTCCCGAAACGTGCAGTTCATCTTTTCTGCCATCATTGTGGACATGGCGCAGGAGAATGCTGGAGATTACTTCGATCATTTTGCTCGGGCTGTCAACGTTGTTGGATACCTCCGCAGGTGGGTGCATGGGTTCATTTGGGCAACATTGGGGAACACGATCGATGGGTGTGTAAGTCGTACGTGTTACCGCCACGGTCAACTCCTCTCGGTGGTCAAAACGGTACCACAGCTCTCCAACGTCGTTCCGTGACACAGCAGGGGCAGACCATTTTTTTTATCCAAACGCTGGCATGTAAACGCTGTTTCCATTGGCCTAGTAGGTCGGCATGTAGACACCGATCAGGGGGGGGTCCATTCGCTTGCAAACCCAGGATTCACCTCGGGATGGGGTGTGATTACAATACGTTTGTTCACCTCTTCGAGTAGTGAGTAGCCGATTCCCCCGGTGGTGAAGTTGGTGATTGTAAAACCACAATCGTGAGCGGCTCCCCATCGCCTTACAGTACCCCCCTGAAGAATTTGTTGACCAGAGTGACCAATTTTCTTGGAAAGGTAAAGGTTTACTTCGTAGGCCAACGTTGGTGCCGCTGGTGTGTTGGGTCGTTTTCGAAGACATCGTCAGCTGCGATATTTGCTCCTCTTTCGGAGGGGTCGATTTCACCCAACAGAGTTTGTCGAATCGTGCGATGCTGTATGTCCTTGCAGCAGTCCTTTGTCGGCGTTCAGACTGCCCTGTATCAAGGGAACCCATCTTCGACCTCGGTGGACGCCTTGATGTGGTATATACGTTTTTCGAACGGTTCCACGCGGGTAAAGGAAGGTGCACTGTAGCGCGTGGGGCGCGAACGCTATAGCAGGTTCATTTTGACGACACAGCGTTGGTATTGCAGACATGTTGCTTTAGGTATGTTTGGAAACCAAGAATTGGAAGCACCTTTCCACCGTTCGGAGGGATGTCAGCTCGATATCTACCCTGCCTGTGTTCGTGTGCTGATGTCATCAGATCTTGTCGTATGCTTTGTTCTGTTCCTCGAACCGCCATGGTTGTATTGGTTGTGGAGGCTGCGGTCCATGGTTGATCGACTGGATACGTTGGCGGTTTCCCCGTCATTTCGTATGCGGAGAGCCAATGGCGTCGATACCACTTTTTCGAGCTCGCTTTTTCGTTTGTCTCGTACTCCGGTATCTCTTCTCTATCGTGGAACATCGCAGTGCGGTGCCCTGGTCCTGTCGTCGATTCGGCAATATTCATTTCGGATACAGCTGCTGACAGTTCTGGGCCAATCTGACGACCCGCCCACTCATCTCCTCTCATCTGCCGTCTGTCCTGCGAACGCCGTTGGTTGCAGTTAATGTATGCCTGGACTCCACCGACGACGACAGATGTCAAACTACTACTCGAAGTTTGTAAGCCCGCACCGAATTTTATTTTATTGCTATGCAAGAACCCAAGCAGCGACCACACTTTGGGCTGCGGCTACACCTGCACTGGACACGGCCGCGCCGGGATCTACCCCACAACCCACGCAGCCACCCGCCTCTAGCTCAGAAGGTAGGAGACTTGATGCCGTATTTCCCGTTTATCTAGGGCCTGCTGTATTGTCTCAACAACAGGCACTAGGCGGTCGAATATTGACACATTCCCGGCTTTGCTCCAAACTGCCCAGTTCACGACCGTCCGGAGTGATGTATTTCCGCACCAAGCACCGGCCGCCCTTGTCAAGGCTACGGTATTCCATCCGCATTGTCACGGGGCTAGTAGTCATTACCGTCAGTGAACGAAAGGTCTCAGCTCCCCCTAGTTCTGTTTCCCGACCTCTGTTGCTTGTGTGCTTCTTACATGCTGTATGGGTCATCGCCGTGTGTTTTTCTGCCGTTACGTTTTCATATTTGAAAAAAAACGCCTCTATCTCGTGGTTGATACCAAGTCGGTCGATTTCGGCTAATTCTACTGATCTCCCCGACATTGCATTGCAGGGGATAAGGGGGATAGTATACAGTGGTGGTATCTTACGCAGAACACCCACGCGAACGCGAAATGGCGCCGCCAATTAGCGACCGAATGCGCGTATTTTACTGTTCGCAGCGGGTTAAATTGCTCGGCGCTGCTGTTTTGCACGGGGTTACTCTCTGCCTCAATTCTCCTTTTCTCACACCATCCCCAGTCACCGCCCTCCCACGGATCGCGTCAGGAGAACGGTTGCGTTGTGGAAGAGTATGCATCACAACGCGAACGAGATTGGCTTTGCCGACATAAGCCCGTCTTGAAACCCCCATGGTCAAAAGTATGTCTGGTCTCTCGCTCGCATTTTTTTCTGCCCACTGTTGGCCTTTTTCTTTGCGGTACAGTGTTGACTTTAATAAACCAACCCCCGTCGGTTCCCTCGTCGAACTCCCCTGCGGCATACTCTTCCGTAGGATTAGACGTTTGTTTGTTCAATGTGATACGTGTTTACCTAAATACCTCCGCTCAGCTTGCGGCTTACCTCAAGGCAGGGTAAACCCGTGGCCGCAAGGGCTTCTGGCCAATGTTTGAGATCGAGAGGGGGTCTACCTTCACGGTGGATAGTTGTTGTCCCCATGCTCAGAATTCCTCGAGGTTTGCCGTTAATAGGACCCTCTCCCGTTGCCATCGACCCGTTCCAAAGTGCTGGGAAATTAATTGAGAAAATGGACAGGTGCACACACCTATGTTGTACGTGCAGTCTTGCGTGATGCGACGGAAGGATCGCAAAAACTAGCCCTGAAATTCTTCGGTTGATAGGTCACAATGTCGTTGTCCTGCTATCAGTCGTTGCCTAACAGAGTCCCGCCTCCATCAACGCTCATCGCTGCTATTCCGCTGCTCGTCTGGACAAAGAGGGCGCATCGATGGTGGGCGTTGTAGTCGGCGCTGTGGCCGGCGCGCTGGCGTTAGGAGCACTTGGGTTCTTCCTAGGTCGCCGACGGACCGCGAAGAGCACGGACCCCGACCCGCCGGCCTCTCCTTGCAACGGTGGGGACAGCCTGGAGCACGGCCGGGGTGAACCGCACCAGCAACGGCAACAGGACACCCACTCCAATCGGAGGAAACGATGCCCTGGGCCCGCCACTTGGAACCCAGAAAGACTCCCCGCCGCCGCCGACACCGTATGCGCATGATGGTGCACACCAGCGTGATGCTCTGCCTCCACCATCCCCAAACAGGCGTGACGGCGGCGCGCGGTCACACCACGGACGATAGCCTATTGAATGGCATGTTGTCTCGTAGTAGGTAGATCGACACCTATTGCGTTATGCAATAAGTTTGGGAATGCCAGCATGATCGCATATTGTAATTCCAACATCAAACTTCGTAGTACATCGATCGATAGCGATGGCAACGATGAAAAGGCTCACAGTGTTGTCGATTGTACCTATTGCTTGATCGATAGCGCGCTGCACGTTCACTCNCATCAAACTTCGTAGTACATCGATCGATAGCGATGGCAACGATGAAAAGGCTCACAGTGTTGTCGATTGTACCTATTGCTTGATCGATAGCGCGCTGCACGTTCACTCGCTACCTGTTGCTAGACGAAGGTGTCATTATGTTCTATCGATACCCATGGCGTCGTCGATGGTGGTGTGACCATCTGTGCCGACCGATTTCTAGATCGGCAAACATTCAGTAGTACAACGTTTCCCTTCGGGAGTTAGGTGGCTTGCCTCCCGGGGGCGACGCAAGAAGACATGGTCAATATCATCGCGGTCGCATCGTTACATCTCAACGCCGTGACGTTCCGTGTTTGTAGTGAGTGCCGGATTGGTGTACACGCTGCAGTGGAATTTGCATCATGTGACGGGTATTTATTTTTCTCGCCGTGACCTTTCGCATGTGGGTGTGAGTGCGTGCTTTTTAGGCTAGTGGCGTCGGTGCTGCAGGTGCTGTTGCTGCGGTAATCCGCTGCGATTGATCACTCGCTCTGATGTATTCGTGTTACCCGTGGTCAGTGGGACTTGCATGCAGTATGCAGAAATTAAAACAAAAATAGTCTTGTTTTTGTTTTGGAAATTGTTCTTCATTGCACTTCTTGCGAAGGCGTTCTTCGCCTGGAACACGTCCCAGGGGTATAGTGCCAGTTTTTTTTAACTGCAGGCGTCAAGCACAAGCGCAACTGGTTAATAGGTCTATCTTCTTGGTTGATTGCCTTTCATTTTTGGGTGTGTCGATTCACACCGTGCCAGAGAGCCTGACAGAGAGTCTCTTTCACACCCTGGCCCTTCTTGTGCCACCTAGTCGTCGGCGCCGAGCCGCCCCGGACCCGGCCGCCCACCAGAGGGCCCACGACTGGCTGTGTCGCAGCAATCGTGCGCCAGAAGGAGCTGAATCATGCACCCATGGAGGTGTGCTGTCCGACGCAGGAGCCCGGGCCATTGCGTGCGGCGGCCCACCCAGGGAGCTGGCAGAGGAGCCCCCGCGGCCGGTCGTCGATGTGCGAAGTGCCGGAGCGGACACGGGCGCCACCGGTACGGTGTGCCCGCCCCTTCCTTGCGAATCCGGCAGTCTTGAAGCCTCAAGACATATCCGAGGCAGCAACATTTTGGAAGATATTACGTACCAGGGCAGAAGGTGTGTCTATCTGTTGATCATGTACCGGCGTGCGGCGGCGGCGGGCGTGAGAGCGTGGCCGGCGAGAACCTACCTGGTGTGGAATGGAGTATTCCGGGACATGGGACGAGAAATGTGCGGCTTGTGCGTTATGGAATGGAGCTAGAAACAGCTATCGCCTTGCCTTGGTCTTAGCCGCCCCGAAGTTTTGGGTGTGTGGTGAGGGGATGGTATTACCGGGGCTTTGTTTCGGCGGTGAATACACGATGAGCGTCAAACACACAGAGAACCAACATGGGCATGAGGACAGAATCCTGCGAGGATATCGCCTTAACTTCTTGATAGTTGTATTCGTAGCCTCGTGTGTCGACGGGGGGAGGTGGGCTCTCCATTGTCGACCGCTTTCTCCCGAAGCGGCGTCTGCGAAAGGGTACGGGGTGTGTTGGACCAGAATGGACGCTAGACACAGAGCGTACTACTCCGCTCCGGAGAAATATTTCTGTGAAGACATAACAAGCCACCGAGGAAGTCCACTTGGAGTCGTAGTTCAGGCTGATCTGGCCTCGGCGAACCTGCCGAATGCCGTTACCAAGTAGCCAGCATTTCCCGAGTCCAAACCCCCTCGTAATCGTCAGGCCTGGCAGTCGAACCCCGCCAGGCAGTCTCAATTCTGCGATGGGATGTAGACGGAATGACCGTAGCGCATGTATGTGACCCATGCGCGCACCTGAGTCCATCCAGAGTAAACAACCAGGCAAGATCAAACGTAGGTCCCGCGGAGGGGGTTCGCAGTGTCTCCTCTGAAAATCCAGGAAACGCCTGCATATCTAGACTATATATACCTCAGTTTTCCAAAGTCTAGCTCCAGCACAAACTACCATCGCAAATTAACCGTCCGCAGCGGTCGCTTGCGTACCATGTTGTATGTGTCTGAGATTGTAGCCCATATCATCGAGATCGGTGAGCTACAAGCAAGATTTTTGAAGCTGCTGTGCGGTCCGATTTTGAAACAAACGCTTCAAGCACCTTTAGTTGTGGCTAAGGGCCGTTTTATACATTCCAAATTTTTGTTCCAAAATTTCCAAATTTTTGGCGCCAAATATTTGGAACCGAGCAGCTCATTTT